GCGGACTAAGACAAAATGACAAGCTTAAATTAGAGGGAGTGCAACGGCAGTTTACCTCAAGAACTCTTGGTTTAGAAAGTAGTCTGGAATACCATGAGAGATGCGTAAGACTAAGATTAGAACCCCTCTGGAAAAGACGCCTTAAGCTAAACCTAATCTTTTACTATAAGCTAACTAATCTTCTCTTGCATTCCTCCGAGCCAATAACTAAACCTACCGCTGTCGTCAGTTACAATCTTAGAAATCATCACAACCTAGCTGCTATAGAGCACTGTCAGACTTACGTGCGGTACAACTTCTTCTTAAATAAGTTTTCAGTCATTTGGAATAGACTACCAGCTAATGTGCGCGATGCAAACACACTTCCAGTGTTCATCTCCTCAGTCACCAGACTGCTCAAAGATGACAATGCACTTATACGTCTGACTCTTACACCCTCTTTTTCACCCTACATAGATATTTTAAGTTGTTTAAACGTGTAGTTACAGCAAACTACAATTATAAATTTTAATATTATTGGAACTAGATGATTAACATTTCTACACAGGACAGTAATATTAGTTCACACATAATATAAAAGTTAGCATAACGGGACTAGTTAGTTTGTGTACCAAAATAACCACAGTTACTAAACAGAATATATATGTATATATTTATTAATCACTCCTTAAGGACTCCCGTTGCTTTCTTTTGCGTTGCTGTTGTTTGTCTTCTTTTTTCTCTCACCATTTCAGCTTCCATTTGACTTTTTGAATGAGAATGAATAATGTGGATATTTGACCATTTACAATGACAAATGATCTGCAAACATTATTGGTCCCGTATCTTTCAGTTGCCTGGTTAATAACGAATTAACTTTCTCCACGACGCAACCTGGATTACATTTGTGGAATATACTCTTATACCAATGGAAAAGTATCAATTTGTAATACAACTTCACGATTGTAGCTTATAACATAACTGATCGTATCTGTAAAAATAGCTTCCTTATTACCCAATTTGGATATAAATCAAATCAAAAATGAGATTCGGATTTGTACACACCCAGGTTATATTGAGGAATTACTTCAAGCTTTATTTTTTCCCAAGTATTTTTAATCCATCCAAAACTTACTTGGGTTTTTTTGTTAATGCGAAGACAACATTCCTATATTTCATGATGTGCTCCATTGAATGACTTGTTATATTGTGGAATAACTTCAAGCTTTATTTTTTCCCAAGTATTTTTAATCCATCCGAAACTTACTTGGGTTTTTTTGTTAATGCGAAGTCAATATTCCTATATTTCATGATGTGCTCCATTGAATGACTGGTTATCATATTGTTCCCACAGACCTAAAAAAATGGCATGCATTTTCATGTAAATTTATATGTTTATATGAGAATATACATTATTATAATTATTATTAAAACAAAAACGCCAGCAACCATGTAACTTAACCATAAACCGAATTTATGAAATTTAATTTATGCTTATCCATGCCTGTATATTTGGTGTGTCCTACACAAGTAGGAAAAAATGTGTACTTTATTAAAACATTATTATTAATTATGATTGCTAATCGTATATGTAATTTATCATATTGATGATGCCTGTAAACTGGCGTCTCTCATGTACAAAATGAGAATATACTATTATTATTATTATTATCAAACGGCAGATCGGTGTTTTGGATTTTTCTGTCCACCGTGCAAACAGAGATTGCAATCGTGGTGGAGGATGTCTCATATATATACATAACTCATTTGTAGTCAGTAAGGTGGAAGATGAAACAATGAATAATGTACCTGACTCACTCTGGGTTGTCTTACATGGAGATAAGTACAAACTTCTCATAGGCTGTGTTTATCGAGCACCAAGCGCAACAAAAGAAACTGATGCGTTATTAGCTAAATCGTTTGCACATGCATCCTCGTTTAGTGCTAATTACAAAATAATTGCAGGGGACTTCAATCTTCCAGAAGTCAATTGGCTAACTAGTTCCGGCCCCCAACGCTTCGACGAATTACTTGCCACTATAGACTGTTATGGATGGCAACAACACGTCCAGACACCTACTCGTGGGGACAACATTTTGGACCTTGTTTTTTGTCATGACACAATCCCAGTATCCACTTATGTTGGTAATAGATTTTCCAGTAGTGACCATAGAATGGTACTCTGCTCTCTGCCTTTCTCACCACTAAATACAGGAAACAAACAAGACTCAGGAAGCACAATATGTCGTAGTTACAAATATACAGACTGGGGATTAGTCCAAGAACTTATTCGACTCTGTCAATGGGATGACTATTTTACCACTGACTCCCTGGAGGCCTTAGTAACCCTGTTTTACAGGAATGTTACCCTTTGTCTAGATACAGTTGCCCCAAATAAAATAGTGAAATTAAGTAGACACCGAACTGAATATATTCCAAGGGCACACCGTAATAAGTTAAGGAAACTGAAGAAACAGTACTATTCCACTAAGGACATATCACTATTGCTCTCAATCCACGAGTCTCTTGAATCTATCAAGCGCCTACGTTCTCAAAAGGACCTCGACGAAGAGTTAACGGCACTTGAAAGTACCTCCAAAGTTTATAACTTAACGGCACTTCTTAAAAAACGAATGCAGTCAGCGAGGGAAATCCCATACTTACTTCACGACAAAGTAATCTACAATGAACCTGCCACTATCTGTGAACTTTCAGTGATTGGTTTGCAAACTTTAGTTTAGAAACACATATGCCTGGTGAAACCGCTCCCCTTACTATCTCTTCCCTTGAAAGCATTGTGTTCACTAATCAACTAATAGTACAAGCAATTAAAGGCCTTAAACCTTCCACTAGTACGGGACCGGATGGCCTCGCTTCGATAATTTTCAAAAACAGTGGGTGTGATATACCCCTGTTACTTCTTAAATTCTTCTCAATATCTATGGACACTGGCACTTACCCTAGTGAGTGGAAAACTAGCTTCATAATTCCACATTACAAATCTGGTGATAGGGCAAACGTCCGCAATTACAGACCCATAAATATAACCCCAGTTATCTCACGAATCATGGAGAAAGTTGTAAAGGATCAATTGTCAGACTACCTAATTAGGGAGGATCTTGTTACAAGGTCTCAACACGGATTTCTCAAAAATAGATCCTGCGTTACTTGCCACTTCGACTTTTTCAACTGCATCACTAGTAATCGCGAAGCACGTAAGCTAGTCGTTGTTCTATACTTCGATATATCTAGGGCATTTGACATGGTATCTCACAGTATTCTCTTTGAGAAGCTGTACTCTTGTGGAATTCGCAACCCATTACTGAACTGGTTAAAATCATTTCTAAGCAACAGGGTACAAATAACCAAAGTTGGATCTGTATTGTCTCACCCTAGGCAAATCTCAAGTGGGGTCGTGCAAGGTAGTGTCCTAGGTCCACTTTTATTCACAGTTTACATTAACAGCATTTGCAAGTGCTTCACCTCAGGTAAACCATTCCTATATGCTGACGACCTCAAAGTCGTCTACTCCTGCTACACTCATGAATTAAGCGATATGGTAGATAAAATACATCTTGAACTAAGTAGCCTTGCAACGTGGTGTGCTGAATCCTGCCTAAATTTTAACATTGACAAATGCGGCTGGATTTGTATCGGCAACAGTAAGCTTGATCTAAACCTTGAAATAAATGGGCGAAAACTAGCTAAGCTCAATTCAGTCGTAGATCTCGGTATTAGATACTCTAGTAACCTAACGTTCGCTGAACAGACTGATTATGCCAGACGTAAAACGCGTAGGCTGATAGGATGCATAACACGCAATTTCTTTTGTTGTGAAACTAGGGTTTTATTATACAAAGTATGTGTCCGACCTATCTTAGAATACTGCCCGTTTATTCTTAGCGGACTAAGACAAAATGACAAGCTTAAATTAGAGGGAGTGCAACGGCAGTTTACCTCAAGAACTCTTGGTTTAGAAAGTAGTCTGGAATACCATGAGAGATGCGTAAGACTAAGATTAGAACCCCTCTGGAAAAGACGCCTTAAGCTAAACCTAATCTTTTACTATAAGCTAACTAATCTTCTCTTGCATTCCTCCGAGCCATTAACTAAACCTACCGCTGTCGTCAGTTACAATCTTAGAAATCATCACAACCTAGCTGCTATAGAGCACTGTCAGACTTACGTGCGGTACAACTTCTTCTTAAATAAGTTTTCAGTCATTTGGAATAGACTACCAGCTAATGTGCGCGATGCAAACACACTTCCAGTGTTCATCTCCTCAGTCACCAGACTGCTCAAAGATGACAATGCACTTATACGTCTAACTCTTACACCCTCTTTTTCACCCTACATAGATATTTTAAGTTGTTTAAACGTGTAGTTACAGCAAACTACAATTATAAATTTTAATATTATTGGAACTAGATGATTAACATTTCTACACAGGACAGTAATATTAGTTCACACATAATATAAAAGTTAGCATAACGGGACTAGTTAGTTTGTGTACCAAAATAACCACAGTTACTAAAGAGAATATATATGTGTATATTTATTAATCACTCCTTAAGGACTCCCGTTGCTTTCTTTTGCGTTGCTGTTGTTTGTCTTCTTTTTTCTCTCACCATTTCAGCTTCCATTTGACTTTTTGAATGAGAATGAATAATGTGGATATTTGACCATTTACAATGACAAATGATCTGCAAACATTATTGGTCCCGTATCTTTCAGTTGCCTGGTTAATAACGAATTAACTTTCTCCACGACGCAACCTGGATTACATTTGTGGAATATACTCTTATACCAATGGAAAAGTATCAATTTGTAATACAACTTCACGATTGTAGCTTATAACATAACTGATCGTATCTGTAAAAATAGCTTCCTTATTACCCAATTTGGATATAAATCAAATCAAAAATGAGATTCGGATTTGTACACACCCAGGTTATATTGAGGAATTACTTCAAGCTTTATTTTTTCCCAAGTATTTTTAATCCATCCAAAACTTACTTGGGTTTTTTTGTTAATGCGAAGACAACATTCCTATATTTCATGATGTGCTCCATTGAATGACTTGTTATATTGTGGAATAACTTCAAGCTTTATTTTTTCCTAAGTATTTTTAATCCATCCGAAACTTACTTGGGTTTTTTTGTTAATGCGAAGTCAATATTCCTATATTTCATGATGTGCTCCATTGAATGACTGGTTATCATATTGTTCCCACAGACCTAAAAAAATGGCATGCATTTTCATGTAAATTTATATGTTTATATGAGAATATACATTATTATAATTATTATTAAAACAAAAACGCCAGCAACCATGTAACTTAACCATAAACCGAATTTATGAAATTTAATTTATGCTTATCCATGCCTGTATATTTGGTGTGTCCTACACAAGTAGGAAAAAATGTGTACTTTATTAAAACATTATTATTAATTATGATTGCTAATCGTATATGTAATTTATCATATTGATGATGCCTGTAAACTGGCGTCTCTCATGTACAAAATGAGAATATACTATTATTATTATTATTATCAAACGGCAGATCGGTGTTTTGGATTTTTCGTCCGCAAACAGAGATTGCAATCGTGGTGGAGGATGTCTCATATATATACATAGCTCATTTGTAGTCAGTAAGGTGGAAGATGAATTAATGAATAATGTACCTGACTCACTCTGGGTCGTCTTACACGGAGATAAGTACAAACTTCTCATAGGCTGTGTTTATCGAGCACCAAGCTCAACTAAAGAAACTGATGCGTTATTAGCTAAATCGTTTGCACACGCATCCTCGTTTAGTGCTAATTACAAAATAATTGCAGGGGACTTCAATCTTCCAGAAGTCAATTGGCTAACTAGTTCCGGCTTCCAACGCTTCGATGAACTACTTGCCACTATAGACTGTTATGGATGGCAACAACACGTCCAGACACCTACTCGTGGTGACAACATGTTGGACCTTGTTTTTTGTCATGACACAATCCCAGTATCCACGTATGTTGGTAATCGATTTTCCAGTAGTGACCATAGAATGGTACTCTGCTCTCTGCCTTTCTCACCACTAAATACAGGAAACAAACAAGACTCAGGAAGCACAATATGTCGTAGTTACAAATATACAGACTGGAGATTAGTCCAAGAGCTTATTCGACTCTGTCAATGGGATGACTATTTTACCACTGACTCCCTGGAGGCCTTAGTAACCCTGTTTTACAGGAATGTTACCCTTTGTCTAGATACAGTTGCCCCAAATAAAATAGTGAAATTAAGTAGACACCGAACTGAATATATTCCAAGGGCACACCGTAATAAGTTAAGGAAACTGAAGAAACAGTACTATTCCACTAAGGACATATCACTATTGCTCTCAATCCACGAGTCTCTTGAATCTATCAAGCGCCTACGTTCTCAAAAGGACCTCGACGAAGAGTTAACGGCACTTGAAAGTACCTCCAAAGTTTATAACTTAACGGCACTTCTTAAAAAACGAATGCAGTCAGCGAGGGAAATCCCATACTTACTTCACGACAAAGTAATCTACAATGAACCTGCCACTATCTGTGAACTTTCAGTGATTGGTTTGCAAACTTTAGTTTAGAAACACATATGCCTGGTGAAACCGCTCCCCTTACTATCTCTTCCCTTGAAAGCATTGTGTTCACTAATCAACTATTAGTACAAGCAATTAAAGGCCTTAAACCTTCCACTAGTACGGGACCGGATGGCCTCGCTTCGATAATTTTCAAAAACAGTGGGTGTGATATACCCCTGTTACTTCTTAAATTCTTCTCAATATCTATGGACACTGGCACTTACCCTAGTGAGTGGAAAACTAGCTTCATAATTCCACATTACAAATCTGGTGATAGGGCAAACGTCCGCAATTACAGACCCATAAATATAACCCCAGTTATCTCACGAATCATGGAGAAAGTTGTAAAGGATCAATTGTCAGACTACCTAATTAGGGAGGATCTTGTTACAAGGTCTCAACACGGATTTCTCAAAAATAGATCCTGCGTTACTTGCCACTTCGACTTTTTCAACTGCATCACTAGTAATCGCGAAGCACGTAAGCTAGTCGTTGTTCTATACTTCGATATATCTAGGGCATTTGACATGGTATCTCACAGTATTCTCTTTGAGAAGCTGTACTCTTGTGGAATTCGCAACCCATTACTGAACTGGTTAAAATCATTTCTAAGCAACAGGGTACAAATAACCAAAGTTGGATCTGTATTGTCTCACCCTAGGCAAATCTCAAGTGGGGTCGTGCAAGGTAGTGTCCTAGGTCCACTTTTATTCACAGTTTACATTAACAGCATTTGCAAGTGCTTCACCTCAGGTAAACCATTCCTATATGCTGACGACCTCAAAGTCGTCTACTCCTGCTACACTCATGAATTAAGCGATATGGTAGATAAAATACATCTTGAACTAAGTAGCCTTGCAACGTGGTGTGCTGAATCCTGCCTAAATTTTAACATTGACAAATGCGGCTGGATTTGTATCGGCAACAGTAAGCTTGATCTAAACCTTGAAATAAATGGGCGAAAACTAGCTAAGCTCAATTCAGTCGTAGATCTCGGTATTAGATACTCTAGTAACCTAACGTTCGCTGAACAGACTGATTATGCCAGACGTAAAACGCGTAGGCTGATAGGATGCATAACACGCAATTTCTTTTGTTGTGAAACTAGGGTTTTATTATACAAAGTATGTGTCCGACCTATCTTAGAATACTGCCCGTTTATTCTTAGCGGACTAAGACAAAATGACAAGCTTAAATTAGAGGGAGTGCAACGGCAGTTTACCTCAAGAACTCTTGGTTTAGAAAGTAGTCTGGAATACCATGAGAGATGCGTAAGACTAAGATTAGAACCCCTCTGGAAAAGACGCCTTAAGCTAAACCTAATCTTTTACTATAAGCTAACTAATCTTCTCTTGCATTCCTCCGAGCCATTAACTAAACCTACCGCTGTCGTCAGTTACAATCTTAGAAATCATCACAACCTAGCTGCTATAGAGCACTGTCAGACTTACGTGCGGTACAACTTCTTCTTAAATAAGTTTTCAGTCATTTGGAATAGACTACCAGCTAATGTGCGCGATGCAAACACACTTCCAGTGTTCATCTCCTCAGTCACCAGACTGCTCAAAGATGACAATGCACTTATACGTCTAACTCTTACACCCTCTTTTTCACCCTACATAGATATTTTAAGTTGTTTAAACGTGTAGTTACAGCAAACTACAATTATAAATTTTAATATTATTGGAACTAGATGATTAACATTTCTACACAGGACAGTAATATTAGTTCACACATAATATAAAAGTTAGCATAACGGGACTAGTTAGTTTGTGTACCAAAATAACCACAGTTACTAAAGAGAATATATATGTGTATATTTATTAATCACTCCTTAAGGACTCCCGTTGCTTTCTTTTGCGTTGCTGTTGTTTGTCTTCTTTTTTCTCTCACCATTTCAGCTTCCATTTGACTTTTTGAATGAGAATGAATAATGTGGATATTTGACCATTTACAATGACAAATGATCTGCAAACATTATTGGTCCCGTATCTTTCAGTTGCCTGGTTAATAACGAATTAACTTTCTCCACGACGCAACCTGGATTACATTTGTGGAATATACTCTTATACCAATGGAAAAGTATCAATTTGTAATACAACTTCACGATTGTAGCTTATAACATAACTGATCGTATCTGTAAAAATAGCTTCCTTATTACCCAATTTGGATATAAATCAAATCAAAAATGAGATTCGGATTTGTACACACCCAGGTTATATTGAGGAATTACTTCAAGCTTTATTTTTTCCCAAGTATTTTTAATCCATCCAAAACTTACTTGGGTTTTTTTGTTAATGCGAAGACAACATTCCTATATTTCATGATGTGCTCCATTGAATGACTTGTTATATTGTGGAATAACTTCAAGCTTTATTTTTTCCCAAGTATTTTTAATCCATCCGAAACTTACTTGGGTTTTTTTGTTAATGCGAAGTCAATATTCCTATATTTCATGATGTGCTCCATTGAATGACTGGTTATCATATTGTTCCCACAGACCTAAAAAAATGGCATGCATTTTCATGTAAATTTATATGTTTATATGAGAATATACATTATTATAATTATTATTAAAACAAAAACGCCAGCAACCATGTAACTTAACCATAAACCGAATTTATGAAATTTAATTTATGCTTATCCATGCCTGTATATTTGGTGTGTCCTACACAAGTAGGAAAAAATGTGTACTTTATTAAAACATTATTATTAATTATGATTGCTAATCGTATATGTAATTTATCATATTGATGATGCCTGTAAACTGGCGTCTCTCATGTACAAAATGAGAATATACTATTATTATTATTATTATCAAACGGCAGATCGGTGTTTTGGATTTTTCGTCCGCAAACAGAGATTGCAATCGTGGTGGAGGATGTCTCATATATATACATAGCTCATTTGTAGTCAGTAAGGTGGAAGATGAATTAATGAATAATGTACCTGACTCACTCTGGGTCGTCTTACACGGAGATAAGTACAAACTTCTCATAGGCTGTGTTTATCGAGCACCAAGCTCAACTAAAGAAACTGATGCGTTATTAGCTAAATCGTTTGCACACGCATCCTCGTTTAGTGCTAATTACAAAATAATTGCAGGGGACTTCAATCTTCCAGAAGTCAATTGGCTAACTAGTTCCGGCTTCCAACGCTTCGATGAACTACTTGCCACTATAGACTGTTATGGATGGCAACAACACGTCCAGACACCTACTCGTGGTGACAACATGTTGGACCTTGTTTTTTGTCATGACACAATCCCAGTATCCACGTATGTTGGTAATCGATTTTCCAGTAGTGACCATAGAATGGTACTCTGCTCTCTGCCTTTCTCACCACTAAATACAGGAAACAAACAAGACTCAGGAAGCACAATATGTCGTAGTTACAAATATACAGACTGGAGATTAGTCCAAGAGCTTATTCGACTCTGTCAATGGGATGACTATTTTACCACTGACTCCCTGGAGGCCGTAGTAACCCTGTTTTACAGGAATGTTACCCTTTGTCTAGATACAGTTGCCCCAAATAAAATAGTGAAATTAAGTAGACACCGAACTGAATATATTCCAAGGGCAAACCGTAATAAGTTAAGGAAGCTGAAGAAACAGTACTATTCCACTAAGGACATATCACTATTGCTCTCAATCCACGAGTCACTTGAATCTCTCGAGTGCCTACGCTCTCGAAAGGACCTCGACGAAGAGTTAACAGCACTTGAAAGTACCTCCAAGGATTATAACTGAAAGGCATTTCTTAAAAGACGAATGCAGTCGGCGAGGGAAATCCCCTACTTATTTCACGACAAAGTAATCCACAATGAGCCTACCACTATCTATGAACTTTTCAGTGATTGGTTTGCAAACTTTAGTTTAGATACACATATGCCTGGTGAAACCGCCCCCGTTATTAGCTGATCAGTAGATATGGTGGTGGTCACTAAGGTGAATCGCCCCATTCTGCAGGAACAGCAATATACAAATTAAAGGCTCGAGATATTTCTGATTTTTATGAGGGCTTAGATCTTTATCTTGAAAAAGATAATAGTGAACGCCTTGACAGATAATGCTTCTACCTTTAAATATATACCATTCGCTCAGCCTATTGTTGAGATGCGACCACGTGGGATCTGCACAGATTTATGGGGCATCTTATGAATTAACTTGCTATCCATTGTCAGATCTTTAAATACCACTTCAAAATATCTTGTCTCACTTATTTTCTAATAACGTCTTTACTTGATCCTCATTATATTCCATTAAACCTAACATTTTATAGCTCTTTATGAATTTGATTCGACTTATTCTATTCCTATTCTCTGGAGGGTACGGTTGTGTACCAAATAGAAAAAAAGACATGAAATAAAGACAACTGGCTTGAAAATAATTGTATTAAAGCCAAAAGTGAACGCATGATAGTATAAAATATATTGGTTTCATTATACATTGCAAATGAACGTTGTCGGCCTAAGGATTAATTACTTCCCCATTCTGTTTTCTATATAAATGTGTTTATTAATGATATATTTCACTCACTTAATCTATTATACTTTAATGTTACACCACAGCACTTTAATTTTTCTAAAAAAGCTTCCAATTCCTTGTAAACGTCGTACTTACCTCAATATTGGTTGATTATCGTATGCCTACAACCACGGGATGAAAACGAAACGAAGTCGATTTTCCCGCTCAACCTGGAGGACAATTGTACAATTCAATAACTATACAGCCTAGTTCAGACAATGTGTATTTATATATATATCAAATATTTATCTGTTGAGACATTATTAACTTGTAGACAATTTAAGATTTGACATTATATCATCCTTGATCGTGCCTGTAAAAATGGCATGCATTTTCATGTAAATTTATGTTTATATGAAAATAAATTATTATTATTATTATTATTACTAGCTCTTCCCTTGAAAGCATTGTGTTCACAAATCAGTTAATAGTACAAGCAATTAAAAGCCTTAAACCTTCCACTAGTACGGGACCGGATGGCCTCGCTTCGATAATTTTCAAAAACAGTGGGTGTGATATACCCTTGTTACTTCTTAAATTCTTCTCAATATCTATGGACACTGGCACTTACCCTAGTGAGTGGAAAACTAGCTTCATAATTCCACATTACAAATCTGGTGACATGGCAAACGTCCGCAATTACAGACCCATAAATATAACCCCAGTTATCTCACGAATCATGGAGAAAATTGTAAAAGATCAATTGTCAGACTACCTACTTAGGGAAGATCTTGTTACAAGGTCTCAACATGGATTTCTCAAAAATAGATCCTGCGTTACTTGCCACTTCGACTTTTTCAACTGCATCACTAGTAGTCGCGAAGCACGTAAGCTAGTCGTTGTTCTATACTTCGATATATCTAGGGCATTTGACATGGTATCTCACAGTATTCTCTTTGAGAAGCTGTACTCTTGTGGAATTCGCAACCCATTACTGAACTGGTTAAAATCATTTCTAAGCAACAGTGTACAAATAACAAATGTTGGATCTGTATTGTCTCATTCTAGGCAGATCTTAAGTGGCGTTGTGCAACTTAACCATAAACCAAATTTATGAAATTTATATAATGCTAATCCATGCCTGTATATTTGGTGTGTCCTACACAAGTAGGAAAAAATGTATATTTTATTAAAACATTATTATTAAGTATGATTGCTAATCGTATATGTAATTTATCATATTGATGATGCCTGTATACTGGCGTCTCTCATTTACAAAATGAGAATATACTATTATAATTATTATTATTGGTGATACTTGGACTTACCCATTTCATTACACTTCATTGATTCACCTTAGCACTTTTACTTTTCTAAAAACAGCTTTCAATCCCTTGTGAACGTTGTACTTACCTCAATATTGGTTGGTTATCGTATGCCGACAACCACGGAGTGAGATAGAGAATAGCGGCACAAATGGCTTATGGAGAGGCTGAGCACTTGAAGGTCACTTACGCACACTGTGATTGGTAGATTTTCCTTTGCGTAAACGTTGCGGCTAATACGTGCCTTACGTTACTAAGGCGGGCTTTGAAATAGCAATAATAAAAGCGGATAAACATTATATTTTTTAGCTTAAGGGAACATGTTAACATGCTTATAAATTTCACAGATGTGAGAAGCATTAGATCCACTAACAAGGAGAATACTACTGGGTAACTTAACCAAAGAAGTATAAAGTTTGAAGATTTTATCTCTTACAGTTAGTTGTAACGGATGGATAAGAGTCACTTGTATAATATTTGCTTTTTATAGAAGAGAAAGTGTGACAAGTGATTTTGAAGTTACACGATTCCTGAAATCTATCGTGGAATATATGGACGACTAATCTATAGAATTTCACCAACTCTGTGGTTGTTCCTTGCCTTGTTCACATATTCACTGTGGCTAAGATTAGGAATTGTTCACCAAAGGTAAGAATAATTTACCTGACATGTATACATCTTCAGATATTTCTCAATACGGCCGAAGGCATTCGAAGGAATACAATCTCAATCTCCGCTTGAAAAGTTCACATCCACTTTCTGCGAACGGAACTGGTGGTGACGAAAACTGCAAGACTGGTCCAACACCACTAACAACGGAGGCAAACTGACACAGATGTTGCGGATAGAGTGTTTGATGGACTTTATGATGACTATGATGCAGCTATAAAAAACTCTACAGCTGTGATTTTTTCACTGGATTATTATTAACTGTTTTTAGTGCATATATGTACTCTTTTATTCTGAGTCATTTTTAACTTGACTGATTATTGTTTCCTTACAAATATATGCATTTATGTCAACTAACTTTGTCTCTTTTACTTATCATTTTGAGGACATTGCAGAGTTAACGAGAATGATAGGCAACGTATTAATACTTATGTAAAATGCGTCAGTCATAAACTGTTATTACTTCCTCAATGCGTCATCAAGCCTTGCGTAAAGTGTTTCAGTTGCGTATAAGATTAATATTCAAGATTGTTAAGAAGATAGCCGTCAAATATGTGCTCGTACTGTAATAACGAAACAAAGTCTAGCAAACGTAGGTTCTATATGCAGACGACATGTATTAGTAGTCCAGGCACTTCAAGTACACAATGCGACGTGTGTCCCACTTATCACAAACACTCTGTTATTATTATGTTGCGTTTAACACCACTATCTCGAAGGGTATCATTAGGTAATAAGGAGAAAACTACATTACTCTTCTTGTGTTATCATTTCGTATCAAAAGGCTCTTACATGATCACACCAACACTTAGACTCGTGCATTAATGCAACTAATTAGTTGACTACGTCACTAAACTTCTTTGATTATTTTGCTATCATGAAATACTGTGACGCATTAAATAGGCCTTTGTTGTGCATATCGCCTGTTTAAGATTTACTAGCGAAAGCAATTACTCAAAAGCGATGACAGTACCCCATCGTGACAAAATTCAGCAACGTGTGAATATGCCATTTTACGAATATTACGTCTTCTACATTGGCATCACTTTGCAACTCGACAAACACTAAGTATTAATGGAGCAAAATTTGTAAAACAATATTTATTTCGATAAATACATTATTAATATCACAAAAATTCCATCATTCACACAAATATTATCGTTTTTAATCCCAATTAGAATGTCTAAATGTATTGAGTGATTGCGGGATTGAAGACCATAATCTGGAAATTATAAATAAACATTCGGTCAAGATGTGATGAGTTAAAAAAATAAACATATAATACAGTACGTACTAGTTAAATGACTATCTCTTCACCGTTATCTGACGAAATAACCAACTCAATTTCCTTTATTTCTGAGCAATTTGGTAAAAATCATGAAATTATAATTACCTCGATATTTAACCCTTTTCTCATCATATACGTAAAATAAACTTCAAAATTTGTAATTATTTAGCATTTTCTATCATAATTGACGTTTTCCAATGAATTGTTTCATTTCTTATGCATCTCGAAATGTCAATTCGATGAAAAAACAGCATTTCGTCAACACAATGAAAACGATTACTTTTCTCACTTTTTACACGTTTTTTCGTTAAAATATGATTTTTAAAATGCATTTCTGTCGAAAAAACCACTAAAAACAACGTAGAATAGCCTAAACACAACACCACGATAACACCTTAAAACGTCAGCAATCAGCTGATTTGTGCCTCTATCCTCTACCACGGAGTGAAAACGAAACAAAGTCGACTTTCCCGCTCAACCTGGAGGACAATTGTACAATTCAATAACTATACAGCCTAGTTCAGACAATGAGTGTATTTATATATATATCAAATATTTAACTGTTGAAACATTATTAACTTGTAGACAATCTACGATTTGATATTATGTCATACTTGATCGTGCCTGTAACAAATGGCATGTAGTTTCATGTAAATTAATATGTTTATATGAGAATATACATTATTATTATTATATACCGCCTGGGCCAGTAGTGTTACTAAGCTTAAGATTTGCGACAGCTCTATCGATCTCATGTGTGGTGAAAATTATGTCACTTAAACATTCGTCTGTTTTACGTGGGAAATCCACGACCTCATCGTTCTCTAAGGTGTATAATCTGGCGAAGTGCTTGCTAAACAGTTCACATATCGCCTCATTATTTTCGTAAGCAATGCCGTCTAAGTATATTATTTTCGGATAGGGTGTTTTGGAGTTCATCAACCTACTTTTAAAAAGTTTGGCTATTTCTCCTGAGTTATGCGGTGCATGAATGGCCTGCATTTCTTTGTTTCTGAGGCCTATATTTCTCAACTCTTCAATTCTACTGAGAAGGGACGTTATGGCAATTAATGACGATAAGTCATGATATCTGTAGTATTTTATTGAGTGCTTACGTAGACTTCTTCTAAACGATGTCGGAATATAATCACTTTGGGGGAATCTGAAGTTAAGAATCTTCTCGGGTGCAATGACGTCGTGAATTGAGTTAATATTCTGATAGAAGTTGTTAAGAATTGCATCTAAGGACTGGTTCGAAAAGTACGAGTCCCAATTAGAACATCTAATTAGGTGCTGATACAAGTCCCAGTCAGCATGTGTGTACAATCTCATAGGTATCTGGCCAGCTTCATCTCTGCGTTTTGTTTCAGGAAAGATGTCAAAAGAACAAACTACTATTCTATGGTCACTACCTGGAAATTCATGTCCAACATGTACTGTAGATGGCGTTATGTTGTTCGTGAAAATAAGGTCTAGGATATTTGCGGATCTAGTGGGTGAATTTATGTGTTGTGTCCACCCTCCTGTGACGATGGAATTTATGAGATTATCGTACCTTTGGGGTCCTCGGAGTGAAGACCATGATACTTCTGGCAAGTTGAAATCGCCTCCGATAATTTTATAACTGAAAGGAAGATTGGCTGTAACATTAAAGATATTGCTAAGCATATTATCATATTCCCTGCTGGATGAAGGGGGCCGGTACACACAACCCACAAGTATAGGTTTACTTCTGACAACTTTTATTTCGACCCAGATCGAGTCATTGAGTTGTGACAGAATTGGGTTACTAAACTGGGTTGCACACATGGATTGTTCACAGTAAATTAGTGTTCCACCCCCACGACCTGTCCGTCTGTCCCCGCGAAAAAGGTTGTATTTATCAATCCTTAGGCTGTCATTGGAGATTTCACTTGTGCACCAGGCTTCGGTGATCATAATCAATGACGGTCTGCATATAGAAGCTATTGTACTTAGTGCTAAATGTTTGCTTAGAACTGATCTCGTATTTACTAGGATAATAGATAAACACTGGCTATGTGGTTTCAGTGAGCGGACAACATCTTGGTAAAATAATCCGTGAGTATCCTCTATATACATGTTATCAGACTCATTTACCAATATCTTTGGATCGTAGGAAGACTTCAGGTAGATTTTTGAGGTGGTAGTCAGGGATGGGCTTACGTTTGGATATGGTATGCAGTGAGAGACACCTGTGTGATAATCAGATATTAATATTTTAGAGATATTAGTATCCGCGTTTGGTGTCGACACTGTGTCAGCTATCTCCCGGGAAATATGCCTTGCCCTAGCTGTAGACTGTTCGCTATGCCAGCAAGGAATTGATCCGATATCATGCGTGCTATATGCATGATTCCAGGTGTTTCTGTTAACTGACGCTGGTGAAAATCCTGCCCTAAGGTATAACCGATATGTGTATTCGGTAATTTGTTGCCAGTATAAGAATGAATTGTTGGTATCTGTTTCTGGTATTCATCAGACCATGGCAAGTTTTGTGCAGAAATCGGCACATGCTCCCCACTAGACACATAAGATATATGAATGGGTTCTGTTGGCTTGCTAAATGTGGTCTGTGGCCGATGTTTGGGGTATTTTCTATAACTTTCAGTCGACAGAATATTAGAAGTGGGCTGGTTGACAAGGGGTTTACGTAGTGGATGTGCAGAACAATACCTACTACCTTGCTGTGCTGTTTGTCTAGAATTAGGGATTCGATAAAATTGGCTTTCCACTTGGCACCAATTAGGCCTACCCCTAGGAGCTTCGTCTACCATATTTGACTTTCTCTTACAAAGAAGGCCTACAGGTGCTTTCGTCTCTTTCTTATCAAAGGGCTTTCTTGCTCCGGGTTTAGTATTTAATTTATTTACTTCTTTTTCCCTAATCTTATGATCAACTGGCTGATGATGGCTAACAGGGCAGCCAGCACATGCTATGTAGGGTTTCTGTGGCTTGGACACCTCATGAGCTTTAGTTTTCTTAATGGAAATGGGACGTTTGTCATAACGCCTAGAAAACTTGCCAACTTGGGTGGCTACATTCGACTGGTGCTTCACAGAGTGTGGATTGTCAGACTGAGGAGTAACTGACTTATAAGGCAATGGTTGGACCACCAGTGGGATGGGTTTTGATGGTTTCGGTGTCTTGAC